CATGCTGAAATCAGTTTCCCTTGCCTTATGTTATACTGATGACTTCTTTAAAATGCTTTGCTTTTATCACTCCTATATAAATTTATGAAATGATTATAAATTATATTGAACCATATAATTCAATTGATGACAAATTCTGATTTGCAATAATGACTTGGAACTTTACCCATTTTTACAGCATTTTACTATGATTGAGTGAGGTACTTAGCTCAAGGTATGAGAGCAGTGACCCACTGAAGAATTGAACTTCCATGTTAGCCCACTAGATAACCAATCCAAAGCCTTAACATCTCAGCAATTCCCCTGTTAATCTTTTGAATTTCTTCAATAGTGCTTTAAATTGAGTTGAAATACTCCTGAGTTTTTAACTGCTCTAGAATCATACTAGCTAAAAAGACTATAAAAAATTAGAACTTAAAAATCTACAAAGTATTACACAAATCAATATTAAGCTTTTGAAATAGTTTTTAAAACATATTTACAAAGAGTACACAACATATCACTGCCCTCATTTTCAGAATGAAATACAGGCTCACACATACTCATCTTACAAAGGCATGTGCTTGAGCACAAGTTGAGCCTGACAGCCAGCTTTAATCAGCTTAAGCATGGGACTTGTCATTAATTAACAGTGAGTGAGATTAACGAAGGAGTGGTGCACAATAGGCTGACCGCTACTGTTGGGTGTGCATTAACAAATGAGTATTTTCAGCTTTCTGCACACCCAGTAAATCCATCAACCTGGATGGGACCTGCCATTTTCAGTGATGCCAAATGAGAGACACCTCTCTCCTGCAAGTCACTGTGGAATAGTGTGTCAAACGGCACCAACAGGCGGGCATGTTGGAGGAGTGGGTACATGCGTTCATCTTTTACCCATGAGGTACAAGTGTTATAGTGGTAAGCTATGTTAATGAATATTTGGCAAATTCGAATTGGATAGGACTATAACTAGTGATTCTAAGATTCAAAGAAAAATAAACACCACTGAAGGGCATTTCATATGATATGCCCTTTTTGAATATGTTTTTGGAAACAGAAAATAGAGGTTACGGGGGAACAAGGGTTTGACTAATTCTAAATTGATTTTGCGGTGGCAGTAAAAACTGACATGACATCAGACTACAGGTCTGAATTATGAAATACTCTGATAAACTATTCATCAGGTTTGGTTGATAAGTGACTGGAGTGCAAAAACGTAGGAGAGAATTTAAACACTGTAATATATTGTACTATGCAGTAGTTAACATGAGATTATTACTAATAAGTTACTAAATGACTTGAAAAATGCACCTCATTCTTTAAAAACCCGATAACACAAAATAATTCAGACGGTCATCTGAGAATGAACAGAACTGCCGTGAGTCTTTAATTTTGCTCTTCAAGCTACAGAATAACCCACACAACAATTGAAGCTGGACTTCCTATTTAAAATAAGAACACAAGGTCAGAAACAAAAATACTTCCAAATCACATTAGCATTGTTATTCATTTAGGCAACTTCAGATGTAATCATTATATTTAGTTTGCCAGAATCCTGAATACGTCACTCAAGTCAGCATCAGCAAGCCACCAATAATATTAGATTTTAAAACCTTTGAACTGGAAATGTCAATTAAATATTACACAATTAAAGTTAGTGAAGTTAAATGTATGTATAGTTTCCTCTTAAAACCTAAATCCTAGACTCTAAGTGTAGGAACACCTGAAGGACAGATATTGGTATGCATTATACACACACAATAAAAATGCAGGTAGCTTTTGAAAATGACAGGAGCTGAAGTTAGATAAATTTGAACGTAAGGCTGCTACCAAAAGAAACATTTATGCTATTACTTTTTCTCAGTAATGAATGTCCCATGCTCAGAGATTTTCTAAATATTGAAATATATCCTTTGCTGCTACATTTGCCATGTGAGACAAGGTTTTAGAAGGCATTTAAAAAGCTAAAAAAGAAAAGATGATACTTCTACCGACAATCCAAAAATACTTGATAAAAACCACAAGGGTCTACAATTTTCCAGTAAACTTTGAAAGGAATGGGAACTGGAAATGACAAACTCTAGATTTTGACAGACATCATGAGTACATGCAACTCAGTTACGCAGAGTGAAGTACAGTATGCACATTTACTGCGCACCTGGTGAAGTGAAAATTTACAAAAGGATTTTTTAATGTTCTTATTAAGCTAGAAAAAATGCTACTGAGAAAAAGGATTCTCATTAGATACTTAACTTGTACACAAAAACCTATAAAGGGATTTAAACATACTCTTTGTTCAGCACAATGGTCTCATTTGGAATTTCAGTTCACGGTTTACAGTCTTTTTATATTATTTGTTACATGTTTTCTGCATCTCTACAATATAAATAATAATGGCTTATAAGCAATGTATAATTAATTTAAATCCATTAGGTTTTAATTATTTAGTTTAAACCCATAAGCATGAAGCTATATCCATTATCAATTATGTGAGCCATTTAACACTTACTGTAATGCATGATTGGTGAAAAGTGCAGTAAGCAGTGTTAAGTGATTGACTGCTACATACAAGATTTATACAACAAAAGATTTATACGTTACAGCTTATAGCACATGACAAAGACATAAGATAACACAGTAAATTGAGTCTGTAAATCTTCCTTCTTTATGCTTTACGTGTGTATGAAACAATATTTTTATGAATTCTTAGACAATGCTTTTCATTAAGATTGCAAGCTTTTCTAACTCATAAAGCAATGGTTTAGGGACCATGTCACTGGAAAACATGGTTTCATTATTTTTTACACAAATATTTTCTATCTTAAAGAAATTACGTCTGTAATATTTACCTTTACAGCAGTTTGAAAATAGCCATAGTATTTACACTTGACATAATGAGTGAACTAATAACATTAGTTACTAAAAGGCTATGGGAGAAAGGCCTTAAAAAGATTAATACCTCACTCTTACATGCATTTTTCTCATTACATTATATTACTAAATGTAATCATTATTTTTTCTACTATCTTTTAACCTTCTCAGGCCAACATACATGAGAACTCCCATCTTAGACTATAGCTAAAAATATGAAGTGTTCCCTTACTTACACAGAAAATCACATCATCACATCAGATCAATTTATAGCAATACAACAGTCACTAGCTGGATCTGAATAATTACTTAAACACTACTAATTATGAAAGCTGAATATAAACTTCCTCAAATGTATCCAGAGAGCCAGCATGCGAACTTATCTAATCTCTTCTTCTTTGAACACAAAAAAATAGGTAATTTTATTCTAATTCTAAAACTTGGTACCAATACCATTAGTGCCCATCTGCAAAAAAACTTCCCCCCCCCTAATATTAAGAAGAAAAAATTAGGCAATTGTTCACAAACAATTGGAAATATTTCTTTATTTATCTTAAATACATTAGCTTAATTTATCAAATGTACACTTTTATAGATGCTGTATCCTGGTTTGCCCTGGGTAAATGATTAAATACTTCTAAATCTGACTGCTTAACTTGGTTATGGGTACATCAATGTAAGGTTAAGTTTGCAACAGTATTTCTAAATCCTTAAGTCAAAGAGAGGGTAATAGTGATTTGATTCACTTTGGCCACAAGCGACATTTCATTTGTCAATAATTTCTCCACAAAGTATTGGACCAGCTCTCCAAAACAAACTGTAATATTTCATCAGAAATCAGTTTTGAAGGTTCTTTAATGAGTATATATAATGGAAAAGACCCCAATTAAATTTCCGGTAGAGGACTGCCATCTTGAGTAAACAAAGTTATCTAGACAGGGTCACATCCTGTGCTAAGATAGCGGCCAGAAAATTAATTACCATCCTGACATATGTCAAAATGAATCCTAAAGAGAATCACATCCATTTGTAACTGTGTGTTTTATCTAACAGTTAGTATGCAGAATCTGTATTCTGTAGGTTCGAAATTTATTCATTTATTCAGAACCCCTTGGAGAAATCAAAAAGGCTTGTTGCCCTTTTTTCCTGTGTCCAGATGGAATTTGCGTGAATAACATCTGTTTAGTGAGCCGGAAAATAAGTACAGGATAGAACTGTGGTGGGGGGCTTGATTTCAAAAAAGCTAGTGTCACCTTCATACAAATAATCCTTTTCTATTTTTTTTAAATCCAAAAAAACTAAGAATTTATCCCCTGAAAAGAAAATAAAACTCTGTGTTCTAGCTGTATTAATTATGCATTGAAATTCAATGCAGCACACATTATGCGCTAGATAATTGACCACAGTGTTAAAAGTTAGAGTTCCAATGCAAAGGTGAGTATTGTATTAGGTAGATGCTGCGTTTGTCTGCATGAAACTGTATTTTATTTATGCATATATATATATATGAAGGAGACTCATTACATGAAGTTAAGCTTGAAGTTAATGCAAAACACATTTGGAGATTTTAAAGCATTAAGAAATTTCTGACCCTAGCTGTATTAAACAATCTTAAGTACTAAGGAGATTGTATCCATATTTAACTAGGGCATCAACTATAATGTTGTTACAAAAACAAAGGGTAATTTTAACTTCAGGTCTTCAATGAAACTGACCAGTATTATTAGATCATAGTCATCTATATGAGAGGCTGAGAACATACTTTAGGAAACAAAACAAGAGTAAAGAGTAAAATGCAATCAAAATAAAAAAATATTATAAATCATACCATCAGTAATTTCTGTACATTGTAGTATAAAATAGCATTCTAGTATATATACTAGAATTCTAATATAAAAATATATAATATTGAAAATTATACACTCTGGGTGTTGTTCACCTCCAACTGTTTTTATATATACATTGAGGTTATATTTATTGGCATTACTTCCTTAATACAGGTTTTTTACAACATAAAGGTCCAGTGGTAAAATAAGAAATGCACAAAAACTAAAAAGCTGCTGTACATAAATGGGCTTAAACAGACATTGTAGCACAGATTTGCTCAATGCATTTAAATAAGTGAGTTAGAACAATAACAACCTTACCTCTCTCAAAACCATACTCTTGTAACCTCGGTACAATCCCCTGACTCCCTGCAAAAAGAAGGAATCACACAAAATGGTTGGTAACATTAACTTGTGAGGACAGAATCATCACAAAAGTCTTAAGTGGTGGCAACAAGTAAAAGCTGTCATAACATTTATCTGCATGCAGTATATATCTGCAATGTCAATAATGGACTGTTAATATGTCTGAAAGTACTTAAAAATAAGATTCCTACCTCCTCACGCAGGGTCCCAAGCAGCACTTGATAAGTCGAAGAGGACGGACAGGCCTGGGCCCTCTGTTTTACCACCTCAGATGGCACTCGTATTAGACAAGCTACCTACAAAACCATGAGAAAAAACACAAATACATTCAACATGTCATAAATAAATAAAAAACAGACAACATGCAATTGTTTTATTACACCTTGAAAATTAAATATCGGTGATATATATCTCAATTACTTTAATTTGTGATCCCCAATTCTTTCTAGTTTCATACCTACCCTCTTTGGAATTGCCTAGTGTATAACATCACTTGGCCATACAGCAATATCTCCTGAGAGAATGAGACACAAGGATGTGATCCTCCAGCCCACTTGTAGAGCCCTTCACCTTGTGACAAGCTTCTGACAAGGAGAGCCAGCACTGACTGGAGGAATGGTGTGTCTCTCGCTGATGTCACCGCACGCTTGCAGTGACCCGGCAAGTCGGAGGAGGACCAGATTGCCGGAAAGCTAAGACTGTCCTGGTCAACTGACTCCAGCCCAGTCCTGGACATACTGTCCTCATTTTCTCCCACCTATTTTTATTAGTGGCAGATGGATTATTCCAATCACCAAGAAACTGTTTTGATTATACAAAACCAGCAGTTTAGTAATCAGAACAGATGAACTGTGAAAGCCCAGTCTAAATGGTACAAGTTTTTTTTGTATTTCACTAGGTGGGCAATTAATAATAGCTTAAGTCCTCGGCTACTAATGGCCTACAAACAAATCAATATTTACTGTATGCAATAATGAAAAAAAAATAACAAGGAGTACACGGGCAGAAAAGGTATAAGATAGAGTGTACTGCATCATTCACAAAGTTAGTTAAATCTTCCTATATGTCAAAATCATTCAGCACATAGAAAATGAAATATATACAGTATTAGAGGTCTTTAAGCAATATGATACAGCACAGTTCTAAGCAGTTTACTGTCAAACTTCCTACTTTTTTTTCTTCAGAAGCTACATTTACTTTGCATGTTCCAGGTGTTCTAATGTTTGAAAATTTGACTTCAATAAGCTAATAACAAAATAATGGGATTTAACAAATATACTCAGTATATCTAATCCTGGAAAAGGGGAATGTTTACTTTGAAGAGTGAGTTTATTAGTCCGGCTCTAACCTGTATAGGAACCAAACTTCATCTAAACGGAACTCTACAGAAGCCCAGCTCATATACAGTAGTCATAAGAACATAATAAACCCGATCGGTTATAAAAAGAAAAAGTCACTTAGCGGCAAAATTTCATGCCCACTCCAATTCAAGAAGTCACAAATAACACATGACCCCAATATGTCAACAAAATATGAATTGTCAACTATTGAAGTTTGGCATAAATATTTATAGCACTTCATGCTTCATAACACCTTATGTCCTTACGGTAGCTCTTTTTTTTATTTCTTATTAATATGGTGGCAGAAAGGAAGCGTTAAAGAGTCAGTCAGATGAAAAGCAATCTCCCCAGCCGAGGGGGTACAAAGAGCCCAGCGTGGCCTCCTGACTTTCGCAGCGCTGCAATTTCGCCAACCGAGGAGACACAAAGTGCCACGTCTTGCAATTTCCTTCTGATTCGCGGAGTGCCTTACGTTTTTTTTGGCTTCATAATATCTTTGATCTTTCCCAGATTTGAATCAAGACAACAGGGGGAAAGCCCTGAGCGAGCAGGAACAAACTGGCAGATTTCCATTGTACAACTAGAAAGGGAAATAAAGGTAAGTCATCCAGGGGACTACTTTTCTACTCCACAGGACATTCATTGCCTATACGCGTACCACACCGCAGACATACTTGAGGGCTTTGAATGTCAAATCTGTCCGTACAGCTTGCATTTCTATTTACATCAAAGGGTGAATGAGGTCCGGATCAGTGCTGACACATGTGCCGGTGTTATTTTGAAAAAGGGGGCCTCTCAACAAAAGTTTCCTGAAAGTATACATATTGCAAGTTTTTACACAGCCCACTTAACAAGGATGAGAAACCTCAGAGTAGGCTTGCCCTTTCTTTAATTCAAATTCTGTGATGTATGGCATTGAGAGCAGCCAAAATAAAAATAATTCGAAGTGTGACCACAAACGCTGAAGCCATTTTCCAGCGCGAGACCAAAGCCCGTAACAAGAACAGAATTCACAAAAGGCAATAAAGACAGTGAAAATTAAAACCACGTCAGTAATTCTCAAAGCTACTCTTACATACATGCATGTAAATATATATTAATAACTATGCATTATTATTACTAAAATCACATATACTGTACGCCATGATTCAGACTACCAAGCACCAAATAGAGGAGTAACTGGTGGCTGAGCATTAAGTATCAAAGACGGCCTGATGCAGATGCTCACGCAGAATAAAGAGCGTTGTATGACAACCAGACAATAGGATTATGTTTGGGAGCATTTTAAGATGCTGGGCTATACACAGAGAATAGACAAAAATTATCAAAAACACACTGCATTTTGCTAACTCTTCTACTATTACTTCTGCAAAATGCCTTCAATATCACATTGGTTTAATGTTTGCGAAGGGGTTGTTTTAATTTTCAAAGGTTACTTTAGCCCTGTAGACGTAAACTACTGTATGCAGAAGAACATTACTTTGTCCCCCAGAGCTGGGTAGGAAGCACAAGATTGCAGCTGTCACTAACAGGTGATCTGCAATTAACCTCTGAATACTTATTTCTTTGAGTATGACAAAGACAATGAAGACTGTAATGTGATTAAGAGGCATATTAAATCTTGCCCCCCCCCCACAAAACATCATTGCACAGGAACTCAAAAAGTAAAAATCACCAGTAGCAAATGATGCTTATTACACAGGGAGACAATAACTTCATTTAATGACTTAATAATAATAAAAAAGAAATACATACATTAACAATGCACTTTTGTTTCTTTTCACTGCATTTACAACATTTTTCTTTTTTATGCTCATTTTGACTTCACTTTAATTGTCAGCTTGAGTCCTAGTGTATCTTGTTCATCCATGTAGTGAAGCTGCCATCTAGTGGTCAAGTTTTGCTTTGACACGCAATAACCTGACCAGCAGCATTGCAATCTGAATACCCTCTGGATGTTTTTTTTTTCCATTTCAGCTAATATTGCAGCTACTGACAAAAACTCCCTTTTCCACCTGCGAATCTCTCAAGATTCATGAGCATCCTTCTTAACTATGATTATAAACAAGAACCTTTAATGGTATATAATTAAATCCTATAGTTTATAGCAGGTGTTGGGTTATCATCTAAACTTTAATGAGAATTAAGTTAATGAGAAACGCTATTTTTGCGATAAAATATACCAGGAGCCCTTGCAGACTGTATTTTTTAGTGTCTTCTATCAAATGTAGCAACACATGAGCTACATAGTTTAACATGGTGACATTAAGCATGCATTAGGCATACTGTTAAGGGGTGTGCACTGTAGCATGAAATCCCAGGTATTACATCTGAAAAGGGATTACAGCGTCTGGCAAAGAAGTGCACAGTAAGTAAATGATAAACGAGAGCATATCATATTCTATCTCATTCCCTACAAAATTCAAAAACATTTTTTTAAATCTTCTGGTGTCAGAATTTACCTTCTGAGGAACAGAAGGGACATTCAGGTAATACCTGAATAAAGTATTACAGTAATCACTGCTGAAATACAGAAGGTGAACTACCAGATTCTTCAATGTATTCCAGCACATTCAACAGTGTAATAATAATAAGCAGTCAACATACATAATAGCTCTTTTGAAGGCACGGGACCTCCACAATTTCACAATCGCATAATAAAACTCAAAGGTATGAAAGAAAGAAATTCTTTAACAGACAGCTTGCTTTTACAAAATATTCTCCATATTTGGTTACGGAAGCTTTGCATGTGCACTTATTCAGAGTGATCAGCTAGAATCCCAGTACCATTGATTATAAAGATAAAAATCCAAGATCATATTGAGGCCCGGGGATGAAGAATAATAATAAAAAAACTAGCTCTGATTATTTAAACGGCTACATCTAACTTGCATTAAATAGCAAAATCAATTACAACACGATAATGGGGCAAGGTGGCTTTAAGACGAGCTGATACTGTAGTGCTGTTTTTCATTGTTTCCTTGCAATTTCAGAGGAGTGTTTGGGCGGCTGACAGCTTCTAATTTGCTTGGTCCAGCCTCTAATTGTATGATAAATTTGTTGGCAGTGTCTTTTCGATTTCTGCCTCCATTCATCTTTATTTACAAGCAATTTACAGCTGTAGCATTAATTAGAGCTTCCTTCTGATCAGACCACCCTTTTTGCCTGTGTTGTGCAGTAAATCCTAATGACAGCAATTTAATTTCCACCATAAACACCAGGCCAGTGCTGAATCACATAGAGCAGAGACTGAGACTGACACAACAAAACATTTAGAAGGGTATGGGGAGTAGATGAAATGAGAGTTCATGCAAATCAACTGCACACTAATTTTGGGTGCACAAGGAGGATACCGATTTAAAAGTACTTAGATTCAGTAGCCAAGTTCTTTAAAACTACTGGGCAAAACAAAAAAAAATTGCTGAAAAGTAAAAAAAGAAAACAAAAACGTAAAAAGGAAACAATAATATACTGATATATCAAACAAAAATGCTGATATACTTCTGAATTCCCTTTGTTTTACACCTATTTTCATTTCTATAAAAATACATTATAATTTCCTGACGGTTAATGTACACTGTGACATTCATCATCCGATGATCATACCGTGGATATCAATGATCAATTAATGAAATCACTATCAGCTATAATTCCTATATTAGGTTTTGTTTGTATAAAAGGTGTGGTTGTTGTTCATTATGTCTGGAAACCAGGTATAGTAGACAAACAAACAGGGTACGGCTAGGATGAAAGTGGTTGTTCTGGACAAACATCCAGAATTGGACAGGGTTTATCTGCTGTGTAGCAGGAGCTCAAGGAGAGCTAGGCTTTTGTTGCCAAATGTAAAACTTGTTTCAGTCACAAGGCCAAATAATACTGGAGCCAGGAACAAAACTGAAACTCTGTTAACATCTGTCAGGTGATTAATTTGCAAAAAAGTCCTCAAAGGTGCTGCT